TTAACACCGTACTTTCAAAGGTACTTACTTCCTAACAGCGCCTCAACAACGTTTACTCCCCTCACGGCTTCTCTTGCCTATGGTTTCAACCTTAGGATGACATAGTCTGGAAGTTTTTCCTTTTTTTCCTCATGTTAACAAACTAAAAAACATGCTTAAATAATTCTAGTATATAATAACTAATATAAACTTATTTAATCATGCTTATGATATTCAGGAATTAATAGATTTTAGTTACACATAATCATAAATATATATACCTGTGTAGTATCTGCACTATTTTGATCCATAGCTTTGCTTGAAATTTAGTTTTTTATTGAGAGAATATTTTGTATACAAAAGGCTTTGCTTTCCGTGTAGAAAGTCTTACCTATTTATGCCATAATGGCTATCTATTTATACAAATATAAGTAACCCTACTATGGTTACTTTAATCATTTGCAGATCTTAGGTTTGATATTCAAACTACTAAATGTTGATGCCAAGAACAACAAGCCTATATACTAAAACTTGTAATGATGTCAATTTTATTGGGCATGTATAAAGTTCAAGGAGCATGCATCCTGCAACTAATCCATGCATAAATTTACAGTGGCATGTATAAATATTAATTAGACGGAAGATTTATCGCAACCAGCTCAATTTACAACTTCTGACTTATACTAGCTATCACCTGGACAAGAGAATCATTTTTATATAAAGCTAACAAACTAGTCAATAGAATATCTACCCATCTAACAACAAGCCTTGCTAGTATAGTGAACTTCGAAACATTCAGCTAGAAATATATTTACATACTAAGTAATTGTAATTGAGAAATCAATAGTCCTCAACTTGTTATGGAAGACTAGGAAGACCATGTTTATAAACATAAGACTGAAGAAACGTAATACTATAAAAAGTTCTCTAGACAATCTAAACAAAATGTTTCTATCTTCCTTCATTACACAACAACCTTTGCTGGTATAATGAAATTTGAAACATTTAGCTAGATATATATTTACATACTAAGTAATTGTAGTGAGAAACCAGTAGTCCTCAAGTTGTTATGGAAGACTAGGAAGACCATGTTTATAAACATCTAAAGTCCAAAGACTGAAGAAATGTAATACTACAAAAAGTTCTGTAGGCAATCTAAAGAAAACGTTTCTATCTTCCTTCATTACACAACAAACCTTGCTGGTATAATAAACTTCGAAACATTCAACTAGAAATATATTTACATACTAAGTAATTGTAGTTGAGAAACCAATAGTCCTCAACTTGTTAATGGAAGACTAGGAAGACCATGTTTATAAACATCTAAAGTCCAAAGACTGAAGAAATGTAATACTACAAAAAGTTCTGTAGGCAATCTAAAGAAAACGTTTCTATCTTCCTTCATTACACAACAAACCTTGCTGGTATAATAAACTTCGAAACATTCAACTAGAAATATATTTACATACTAAGTAATTGTAGTTGAGAAACCAATAGTCCTCAACTTGTTAATGGAAGACTAGGAAGACCATGTTTATAAACATCTGAAGTCCAAAGACTGAAGAAACGTAATACTATAAAAAGTTCTCTAGGCAATTTAAACAAAACGTTTCTATCTTCCTTCATTACATAACTCTTGGAGAAGTTCACTAAAACTTATCTGGTTGAAAATCCATGAGCAGATCACGTGGAAGAAAATGATTTAAGGGAAGATCGAGAACAACAAAGATACAAACAAGATTACCGTGTATCTTTAGTTCTAGATGTATATGTTTTGCTACAGGTGGTCTAAATTGAGAGGAAAGAGAAGAGCGAAGGTTAGAGATAAGTAGAAACACGTGAGAGGGTTATGACTGTAAAAAAGTTTCACGATGGTTAGGATTATGACCGAAAGTCCACCACTTTAACAAAGAATAAGGATTATTAGTGCTCCTGGAAAAGAAATACGGTCATTTTAAGCCTAAGTCTAAAGATAGTTGACTATTTTGAGCCTTTTCTCGCATGTTGAGGAATAGTTGAGGAGAGATTAGAGAAAATTGAGGCGCTTATTTAAGAAAGGTGGAGACATTTTTGGCTATTAACAAAAAATGACTTATTCAGTGAAGATACAGAATGTTAAAGTTTCTAAGTTTCTAGGGACATTAGACGTCCCGCTAAGTACGTGAACTCCCTCATGGACAGGTTATGGTCGACCAAAGAGGAAACAAATTATTTTGGTACTTATCCTAATTTCATGCGACAATGGTTTATGTTAGTCAAATATAGTGATCGGGGACTAGTTTTAGACGAAATTGAAGAAACACCTAAATTCAAGAATCAAACTTCAAAATTAATCTGATCGTGCTTCAATAAATAGTGCTTCATGGATTTGTTATACTTAAAAAATAATATCTTCATTGAACAAACAAGAGAATCAAAAATATAATCTGACTTTTGACGGATAAAAATTGTTAGTTAAATCTATAAAGTTTCCTTCATTTTCAACACTACATGAACATTACAATGTATTATTTTCATGCATCATCACAAAACGTCAATGGCGATAGATGAAGTGTTTAGGGAAGCGAGCGTTGGTTTTTGTCATCAACATAAACAACAAGTACAACAAACCCCGATGTTGTTTTCTTTTACAAAACACAAAAGCAAGCAAATCACTATTGTATTCTTTGTCAATGAATATTCATTAAGGTGATTAAGTCATTTCCTTTGATTTTCTCAATGCAAGGACTATGAACAAGTTTATTGAAACTTGTAAGTACTTCAAGCATTTTAAATCTTCAAGAATTTTCACATGAATTTGTCTAGTGACATATCCTGCATTCAATGTGTGACATCCTTTGATGCCCGGACTGTTGGTCCAATTAGCTTACACTTATTAAGATGCATGATGCATTATTTTATTTTTTTAACTGATAACTTTGTGTCTATTGATAGAAACAGATCAGTACATGGGCTGTACTAGGGCCATATTTACAAGTAAATCCAGATCCTATGATCCCATGTCTATAATGAATCTAACACATCAATAGTAGATACAGGATCATTAGACCGAATCTGATTACACCAAAAACATAGAATCAAGATGCATCATTTCACTTGATAATCATTTCTAATTTTGTCAAGTGACAAGATATCCAGTATTAAATGCATGACATCCTTTGATGGATGCCTGGGCTGTTGGTCCAATAAGCTTACACTTATCAAGATGCATGATGCATCATTTCATTTGATAAGCATTTCTACGTCAGTATGCTTGAATAGATGTAGAATTCAGATTGTCACAATTTTTTACAATATTGTGCGCTATATTGTATCAAATATATCGTTGATGAGCCATCATTTTGTATCAATTCACAATGCGACATAACTTACTAAGATCTCATCACATTATTATTTACAGGTACCTTAAGCTCTCGTGAGGTTTCATAAGTCGTAGGCTCTTCAAGAGCACATTGTCTCCTTATTATGATCATTTTCCCCCTTTTCTAAGGATAATTGGAACCGACTGATTTACCATGCTTTATGCATGCCGTAGACTTTGTCTTTCTGGGACATTCTGAAATATGAGTTAATTTTGGGTCGGCTAATGATTCTAGCATTTGACTTGCATCATCTTTCGAATGAGTATTGTACGGATGAGGTACTTGAAGCTCTCATAAGTCGTAGGCTCTTCAAGAGCATGTTGCCTCTTTATTATTGTATTCCCTTTTTTTTCCTTTTTAAGGATTATTGCAATTGGAATCAACTGGTTTACCATGCTTTATGCATGTCGTGAACTCTGTTCTTCCGGGACATTTTAAAAGAGCATTTGCAACTGAAATATGAAATTAATTTTGGGTCAGCAAATGCTTCTAGCATTTGACTTGAATTATCTTTTGAGTGAGTATCCTCGTACCCTCTATGACCAACCTCTGGCACCTCTTCATTGACGCGTCTATTCAACTCCCCTTCACATGTCCAAATCATCTCAGCACCATAGAGGCCAGTCCCACCTTCATCCAAATATCTTCATATATCGCACTCTAAAACCTATTAGATGGAAATATTTGGTACCTGATCCTGAATCAATTGAGAAAGGGTAATTAGTCATAAATTGTTGGTCTGATGAATAGAAGTGTTGTTGAATACAATATATCATACCATTGACCAACACCCAAAGTTTTGTTCTCATAAGCAATGGTTTAGATATTTATTGAAGGTATTCAATATCAAATTAGCTTGGATATAGATCTGCATTATCACGATGAATTGTCTTGATTACACAATCTGAAAACTATGTTGTTAACTCAAGAAAAGAACTTTGTGAATGTCAAACAGCATGTTTACAATAAATGCACATGTGGTCATCTTATAGATGCATCTATTTAAGATATCACATGATAGGTGAACATGCCGATACTGACCTTTTAAATTTTTCAGGTTTTAGTGGATTCAATTCAAATATTAATTGGTCTAATCAACTTATCATGAGAACAAACAACATAAAAGAATTTTGAAGAATTTTGTAGTTCAATATATTTTGCATACTTAATATGCACATCTTCAGGATTCCAAAATTATTCATGATTAACATCTAAATATTTTTTATCCAAGTGGTAATTTTATATTATTGTCACTTCCTTTAGGAATGTGTATGAATTGTTAATTTGTTCAGGCAAATTAATTAAACATACCGTAGAAAGCATTCACCAAGATTTATTTCCTTCCGCCTTAAAATGATACTTAAATAAAGTCATTCAAGATGTTTTTATGTACGACAAGTACATATTGCAATGACTTCCATACCACAAAAATAACATGTATATGCTTTGTTATTTTATCTCTTCAGGAGACAAGTTGTGGTATTTCTTTCATTCATTTCGGGAAATGAATCCTGGTTATTTGAATGTGCTTGAAATACAACATTCATCAATAACTTACTCCCTCCGTCCCATTTTATGTGAGGTAGTTTGACCCGACACGGAGTTTAAGAAAGAAATGTAGACTTTTAAAACTTGTGGTCCAAGATGAATGATAGAAATTTGTGTTCTTTAAATCATTTCATTAAGGGTAAAATAGACATTTTATAGTTAAATTGTCACTTAATATAGAAATGTGTCATTCTTTTTTAGACTGACTAAAGAGGAAAGTAAGTCACATAAATTAGAACAGAGGGAGTATTGTTTTTCTCAAGCATAATAAGACACTTCTTCAGAGTATTTCTCAAACATTTTTCAAATTACTTTTGCTTATGGAGAAAAATTTGAAGTTTTACTATTTGAAGAATGTGAGTTCAGAATTTTACCACTTCCAGAGTAAATTTTGAAGTTCTACTACTCCAGGAGTAAAGTACAAAGTTCTACTACTTCGGGAGTAGATACTAGATTCCTACTACTTGGGGAGTTGGTGGCAAAGTGTTTACTACTTCTGGAGAGAATTTTAGGTTTATGTCACGCCATAAACTACTCCTAGACATGATTGGCACCCAACACAAACCACTGACCAGGTCAACCCAATTTCCATACCTGAACCATTAATTCACAACATTTGATGAATTAAATAAGTATTCAAACAGTATGATAAATAAATATGAACACTTAGGGTCGGTTTGAAAGCCACTAAGTAATTGAAATTGGTGTCATTACTCATTACTAGGGTAGTAAATCCAGCCTAGTAATTACATAACTTAGTAATTACATTGACCTGTTTGTCAATCTTTCGGTGATTAGGTTAGAAAAGATCTTGTACACCACTCCAATTATGTTGATTGGTCTGAAATCTTTTAATTTCATTGCCTCAGGTCTTGTTGACCAATATCAATTAGAAAGGTGTACAAATTGAGATTGGTAGTACCCGAAGCTTTTCTTTTGAATTTGTTAAAGGACCATGATGCTGCTTGCTTGTACTCTCCCATTTCTAGTTCCTTTAACAAAATTATAATTATTAAGGTTTTGGCCAATAATGACAAATTAAAGTAATTCTCCAATCTTGCAATAGTATCAGTTTACTATTTTGGGAGGAAAATTCAGATTTACTACTTTTGTAAGTAAATTTCAAAATATTCCTTTGTAATTATTTTACCCCGTTTGGAAGTGTGTGGTGATAACTTCACAACCAACATTCTTTTATTAGTGTGACAATAATCATCATCATCGTGTAAACATCAACGTGTATAAAACATAATCAAGTTATGCATGAACCATGATATTCATATTTTAATTAATTCATCACACTCATCCGTAGATTTCATATAATGAAATCAAGTTCTTAGTTTCATAATATTTATCCATGATGGCAGAGTATCGTACTTATAATGTGTTGTAAAATAATAAACAAAAGGAAGAAAATTGTAGAGAAACGTTGAGAGAAGGTAGAAAGCTACATATGTTGTACATATTTATAGAATCTTGTAGGTAACGAGACTACAATTGATTATTTGTACATATTGTATGGTGTTAAAGGATCTAAACGTGTAACAATGTAAGAGAGTAAAAGCTCTAAAACTGTAAAGTATCCTTACATGCTTGTTGAATATGAAGCATTGTTGATCGTTAGGGAAGGAGTGTTTGCTTGAGGTTAGATTATTAAGAAGGGTATTTTAGTAATTTAACTTTTAAGTTGGGATTCCTACTTTTAATATAATATGAATATGAATAAATATAGATTAAAAAGATGGGACATATTTGTATAGATACTCATTCTTAGACAAATACATTTAGATGGCTACTAGAATGTATCTATATACTTGAAATAATATCTGCCACTGTCCCCCAAAATTTGCCTGAAATTTTAATGTTGTAAGCAATCAACTTCTTTATTTTGTGCTATCCTCAATTTTGTTTTATTTGTAGCACCTTCATATTCTTTAGCTCAGATGGGAAACATAAATGATTCTGATTGGCAAGAAGAGGTTTATCAAAAGGTTCAATTATCAGTATACTTAACCATCCAATTCGTTATTTTGTTATTATTCAAGTGAAACAGTTTCTCCTTGTGAGTAAGTTGAATCTCATGCTTGTTAAACTTCAACACGTGTTGCAGAATGCGTCCCAACTTAACAAGCATGAGTTCAACTTGCTCACTTGGAGAAACTGTTTTTGCTTGAGAAGCACGTAAGTTTCTTTCTTAGTGGAAAATGGCCGCATAAGCCTACTTCTATATTACCCGAGCAACTTCCTCAGCCTTCCATGCATACAAGTTAGGTATGCCGTATGAACTTGTTTCGATAATTCAATTGTTTTCACCTTGTTGAAGTTGCTTTTCTGCTTGTGTTAAAATACATCTACATTTCCTATAATTGTTTGTACAAAACCTTGTCATGCAACAATCTGAAATTTGGCGGTTGTTTTCTTCGGTGGGGGGTGGGGCTTTGATAGCTTTGGACTTGTGAAAATTGTCCAAACATAAATCTCTTAAGTGATATATGATCTCTCTTGTTTCTTTTGATTCATTCTAAGATCTCATGTGTTTGAATATGATTATATAAAGGTTGAAAATTTGAGTAGAAGGTTAGTAAGCAATTGATTGTCATACATCTAGTAGAACATCAGAGCTCAAATTCCTTAATCGTTATTGTCCAGGCTTCGATGATCAACCCGGGCACACTTTGGCTGTTTTGAAATCTTGGATACACCTTTGAGCAAATGTTGAGGAATGATTGGAGAAAATCGAGACATTCCAAAAAGGTAGAAACATTGTTGGCCGGGGATGGAGCAAGGTAAGGCTGAGGGGTTCATCCAAACTCTCTTTGGCGAAAAATTACATTGTTTAAACATGCTTAATATTATTTTTTAATGCATATATAATAGATGTTGAACCCCCTTTGACTTTTTCTAGTGTTTACTTATTCATATTTTGAACCCTCTAAGATCCTTTAAGAACTCTTGAGATAGTTATGACTCGCAAAATTTGTGATCTATCAAGTCACAAATTCATATATCTTTTGTTTTGTTCTAAGATCTCACATGTTTAAAATTATTAACCTTTTGCAATTTATCGATCTTTTCCGTTACTAATGATATCTCAATTTTTCATATGAACTCTCTTCTTAAGGACCAAAATAGTTAGTATCCCTTCTTTATTTTATAATAATTTAACAATGGAGAAAACTTTTAAAAAAAAGATTATTTGTCTCTCTTTCATAATCTGCCTTAAAATTAGTTATGAACTCATTATATAGGCTAATTTCTTTTGTGATCATGCAATCAACATAATTTTGTAGGTGAAATGATAACAGTTGAGTGATTTTTTTAATTATAAAATAGGGTTGAATAACTTTTCAAAATAATTGTCATTAGTTGAGTACCTTTATGTTACAACATAAAGTTTAATGACTTTTCTATTTTAAAATTGAATGACTTTTTGAGATAATTATCATTAGTTGAGTTCCTTTGTGTTACAAATAAATTTGAGTGAGTTTTTGAAATAAAATCTTATTATTTGAGAGACCATACCAAAAATTAACTCTATATTATATAAATATACCAGGGCTCACATTAGGGGGAAAGTTTATCAGAATTGAGATGTATACTGATACTTAAGAATGTGAGGATACCGGCCCGGTCCTGGCTGCCACCGTAGCTAATGGTCAACAAGACATAATTTCCTTTTTCTTATTGTAACCTCTACTTGATTTTTTCTTTTCTTTTTGTCAATGATTATACACTACTACTACAGTACTACTGTACTACATATTCATAGAATTGCAGGGGATCTCCATTTGGGAGTCTCAGGTTTGAAATCTTGCTACATGTTTTCTCGTTGGGGATTGTCTAGTGCAGTATCTCTCCTATGTGGTTTTGGGAAAGTTTTACTCCGTCAACCTTAAGAAGAGTAGTGTTTGTGGGTTCCCTTGTCATAAATAAAAAAGAAAAGGAAATGATGAAGGGTAGAGGGTGGACCCATGATCTGATTAGTTTCTAACTCTGCGCCATTGACCACGGGGATTCTTGGCTATAAAAAAGGGTAAAAATAGTGAACAACAACAATGACATAGATGCTTTTATTTTATTGGACCACTATCAATTCTTTATTCATGGAAAGAGTACAACAACATACTTAGTGTAATTCTACTAGTGGTGCCTGTGGTGTTGGCTCAAAGAAGTGGTATAGATTTGTAAAATTAATTGTAATTACAATATTATCCAACACAGAGTGCACTTTTGAATGGTAACCAAAAATATTGTGTTGGAGATTCATACTTTTATAATAGTATAAGATAAAAAGATGGAAATATTAGCATATAACCAAATACCCAATCAATACCCCAATGTAAAGTGGAAACTTAACTTTCTTAGACAAGTACATTTAGAGGGAAGTTAAAATGTATTAACATACCTAAAATATTTAACACTGTCCCAAATTTGCCTGAAATTTTAATGATACAAACAATCATGTTCTTTAATATTTGTGCTTTCCTCAATTTTTGTTTTGTTTGTAGCAACTTTAGGTTCTACAGTTCAGACCGGAATTGCAAATGGAGGTGACCGGTAGGAAGAACTTTACGAAAAGGTATTGTTTGCAATTGTATTTTTTATCTGCACAAGATTTTGAGAATTGTGAAAATTTGATGTGGATTTTGATAAACTGGCTGGTCATAACATTATAAGAAATAGCTGAATATTTTTGAAATATTGCCTATGATTTTAGAGTAACAGAGGAGGTTTACCACCAAGTGTTTAGTTAAATTCATGGCCATACCCCTCCCCGCAAGGTGCTTTATGTATTCCGTTTCTTAAGAGGAAATAAAAAATTGAGCATGATAATGGGCAACTTGTTAGAAACGGGTATATTGTCAATTGAGGAGTACTAATGCAACTACATCGCAATCCCAAGCAAGGTGAGGTTGCCTATATGAATCTCATTGTAGACGACGTTCTATTTAAGCTTGTCTTGGTTCAATATTGTCAACAAAAAAAAAATAGTTTCACAAGCACGGGAATAATTGAGAAGTGAAGTATTATTTGATAAATTAACTGATTAGAGAAAATTAGTTGTTGAATGTTGTGATTGTATTAGCAAGTTTGAACCTGTGACACCCCTCTAACCCATATGTCACAAATTCGCTCTTACATCATTTAAAAAAAAATATCTTTTATGACTAGGGAACCCACACTCGCTATCCTTAGGGTTTGCACAAAGTAAATCTCGTCCACATACCACATAGGAGAGATAAACCACACTAAACAACCTTGTGCGACAAGCCCGATTGAGAAAGCATGCATGAACATTTTAAACTTGAGACTTTTCTACGAATATGAAGTAGAAGTAGTAGTGAATTATCCAAACAATTATGTTGGAAGTTGGTGAGATTTTTGTCACATCACCTTCCATGGTCCCTATACGGGTTGCATCGATGGATTAGTTTGACCATCAAGAGATTGTGGTTGCTGAAGCTGCACGGAAGACTGAGGAAGTTGCTCCTGCATTGGAGAAGTAGGCTTTTCCTTCTGATTGGGACTAAGAAAAATATCTATGTGCTTCTCCACCAAAAATATTTTCTCCTTGTGAGTAAGTGGAATATGATGCTTGTTAAGCCCCAAGAAACACAAAATGCGTTCCAAAGTCATCTTGGACATCTTGAGCTTTACAATTTGCTCATTTGTAAGACACTGATGAAGAGAGTCATGCTTAAAATCAGAAACAAAAACCCAGTTATTTCATGCCCTTTGCAAACTTTTGAAATTCATGCTTCGAGTACCTCCCACAACAAAGAAAAGTTTGCAAAGGGCATGAAATAACTGATTTTTGTTTCTAATTTTAAGCATGACTCTCTTCATCAACTTCTTACAAATGATCAAATTGTAAAGCTCAAGATGTCCAAGATGACATTGGAACGCATTCTGTGTTTCTTGGGGCTTAACAAACATCATATCCAACTTACTTACAAGGAGAAAATGCTTTTGGTTGAGAAGCACATAGATTTTTTTCTTAGTCCCAATCAGACGGGAAAGCCTACTTCTCCAGTGCAGGAGCAACTTCCTTAGTCTTCCGTGCAGCTTCAGCAACCACAATCTCTTGATGGTCAAACTAATCCATCGATGCAACTCGTACAGGGGCCCATGGAAGGTTATGCGACAAAAATCTCACCAACTTCCAACATAATTGTTTGGATAATTTATTACTACTTCTACTTCATATTCGTAGAGAAGTCTCAGGTTTAAAATGTTCTTGCATTCTTTCTCAATCGAGCTTGTCGCACATGGTTTTTTAGTGTGGTTTATCTCTCCTATGTGGTATGTGGAAGAGGTTTACTTTGTGCGGATCCTAAGGATAGAGAGTGCGGGTTCCCTAATCATACAAAATATATATTTTAAAATAATGTAAGAGTGAATTTGTGACGTATGGGTTAGATGGGTGTCACAGGTTCAAACTTGTTAATAGTCTAAAGCCGTTATTTAAGTTAGTGGATAAGGGTAGAGCGTGGACCCATTATCAGTCGATTTTCTAACTCTACGCCATTTGCCTCGAGAATTCTCAGCTATAAAAAAGGGTAAAGAATAATGAACAACAACATACTTGGTATTGTCCTACTGGTGGGGTTCGGGGAGGGTAAGATGCTTGCATATTTTACCCTACCTTTGTGGGGTAGATAGACCGCTAAAAAGAAGTGTATTAATTCGTAAAATTAATTGTAATTATCGTGAGAATATAGGAAAAAATATTATTGAATTGTTGTTGTTTACATTATTATAGAGAGACCTATTTATAGACACTACAATAGACACCTTTTCCAACTAGGACACTGCAATACAATCCTTTTCTAAGTATGACACTATATATTATTCCTATTTCTATTCTTAGTAGGATTGTATACACCTATTACTATTCTAACACTCCCCCTCAAGCTAGTGCATACAAATCATATGTATCTAGCTTGTTCCAAATATAATAATACAAGGACTGATGAGGAGCTTGGTGAGATATCTGTTGATCACTCGACTTCACAAAATTGACATTCAATCTCAATGTGCTTAGTCTTCTCATGAAATACCAGATTTGATGCATAATGCCTATAAAACACAGAGTGATAAATTACAGTGTTGAACTTCCCAAATTAAGCTTGCACAGGCTATTTCAGACCATAGAT